TATATATATATATATATATGTTCTTCTAGTTTCCACTTTTTGAAGATATTTATATTTATATTTTAATTTTTTTCGTGCTAATATGTCTTTTAAGCGTCAAATAGAAAAAAAAAACTAATTTTGTTTTTTACAAAAGTACAGAGTACCTTTTTCGTTTCTGGTTGATATAAGTGGTATATGTTTATTTTTTTTTAGTGTAGAAATAAGGTCATGTGAAAAAAATCCGTTTAATCTATCAGAAAAAAAAAATAAATATATCGTCTATAATTTCTTAGGCCACATGACTGATCAATAAAATCTTATATTTTTCATTTCTGTAAAAATCTTATATTGTGACTCAGACCCAATTTATAATTTATAGAATATAATTAAAACCAGATTTCAAATATATTTTAATTTTTCCGTAGTTTTAAAAATTCGTTTAAGTGACATTTGTACTTTGTGAGTTAAGACTTATGTGTTTGGTTTATCGTCAAAAATTCTCAAAGAATTGTTAAACGTAAAAATAACAAATTGATACTTTCAATTTATTATTATTATTTTTTTCTGTTTTGGAATGAGAAAATTTTCGTTTAATCCAAAGAAGCTAAGACCTTTGGTGGCATTCTGGACTAATTTCCATTTGGCCATTAGCTTTATTTTCACTACCCAATTCAAGAGATTAATAGGATGTTTGAATACGCATTAATAGTCATAAATTACGTCATTTTTTAAAATCTTATTTGACGTGATTTCTCACGTTTTTATCACATTTTCAAGCACAGAGATAATGAGTTTATTCACTTACTTTTTTCTTAAAAAATAAATATAAATATAATTTAATTTTATAAAATTGACATATAAAAAAAATTATTTTTTATAATCTTATTTTTAGCCAATGTATATTCTTTAACATACTTTTTTCACGTTAAAGATTAAATATCTCAAATATAAAATTTATAAAATTAAATATTTATGAATGACCTGATTAGTAAATAATCTATTAGGTTCAATAATATATTAATAATTATTAAAATAAGTTTTAATATTATTTTAATAAATTAATTAAAAATTTATTTTAATTTTATAAAATTGATTTATAAGATAAAAATTGTTCTTAATATCTTTATTTTTAATCGATGTGATACCTCTCAAATATCCTTTATAACCACTATAGTCAATTAATATTTTAATTACATATCAAACACTTGCAATTGATAATAATTGAATGTTGAAGTAACCACCACAATGACCGCAAGCAATTATTGGTAAGTAGAACATAATGGAAATACAGCAATCCACTAAATCATGATCGGTGGTAAAGAAAAAATACAGCAATTTTTAATAATTTTTTTCATAAATATTTTTGAAAAAATTATAAATTAAAACTAGTTTATTTATAAACTAATAAAAAAATATTTATTTTCTTGTAAAAATGTTTATTAATTTATCCAAAGAGATCTACCACAAACAAGTTGGCTTTAAAGCCGAAAAAATCTTGTGACTTTTTATTCTTGTGACGTGGAGGTTGTCCTTTCAAACATATTGACCATTTCCTGCACATATTTTGTTTTCTCTGTGGTCCAATTGCTGCTGAATGCTGATTTTGGCATTTGAAGAAATCATTCATATTACATATTAGTAGCATGGAATAACTTGTGTATCTAACACCATTTTTCCGAGGGCATTTCAAAAGCATGCAATCGCACAAAAACTATATTAAAATCTCCTGCTACGCCTGTTTCCAAGTTCCCGCTACTATTGCCTATTCTTTGGATACGCGTTTTGTTTTATTACAAGTTTTTGGTCTCTCTTTTTACTTGGCTAATAAGATTATGACTAGTGTGTTTTATCTGCAATTTTTTAATACAAAATATAGATATAACTCCAGTTCAAATGTTTGAAATTAAATATTTGCTTTATCATTGCATTTGAGCAAGAAGGAACATACACATGTCATAAGTCCATTGAATAAATAAGAAGGGACACCTTGTCAAAATAAATAAAGAACGGACACTGAAATTCTTTAATACTGTGTTTGGTAAAAATGAAAAAAAAAAAAAAAAAGAAGAAGAAGAGAGAGAAACGTATGAGGAAATGTAAGAAAATATATAAGAAATAAATTAAAAATAAAAGTTCTTTTTTTTTTTTTTGTAAAAATAAGAAAGATTACAAAACATAGGTCTTCATGCTTCTAACTATCTCAAACTCTCTCCACCCAATCACTAGGCTAAACCTAATGGTCTAAAATAAAAGTTATTTGTTAACAGAGAAATAGAGTGAAAGTTTAATATTGTAACAATTTTTTTAAATTAATAAATAAGAATTGTTATAATATTATTTATTTGTATTATGAAGTAACTTTACTTTTAAAATATATAAATAAATTATTATTCATATTACTTATTTTTATTTTAAAATAAATATATATAATAAATAGACTATTTATATTTGTATTTTTTTATCAAATTATTTATTTCTTGCTTTTAAAATAAATAAATATTTGTATGTGTATTTATAAATAATTAATTATGTTTTACTTTAAAATATGTGATAAATAATTATTATTCATATTACTTGTATTTTATTTTTATTATAAATTGTTTTACTTATTACTTTATTTTAAAATATATATAATAAATAATTATTATTTATATTACTATTATTTTATTTATTTATTTTGAAAATAAATAAAGTATTTATATTTCCATTGTTTTATTTATTTTCATTATTTTGAAAATAAAATTATAATTTCATTGACTTAATTGATGAATTTGAATATTTTTAAGCACATCAAATGTATAAAAATTCATACACTATTATATTTTAATTTTTTAATAATATTTTTTATTTTATTTTTTTACTTATATTGGTTAAAATGTTAATATATATTAAATAAACAAGTTATTTTATAATAATTATTTGAAAAACAATACTATAGATAGAATAATTTTTTTATTATTTTTAATTGTTTTCAAAATCAAAGTCTCGCATTTAGGAAAAAAATGTTACATAGATTATTTTACAATAAATTTTTGAAAAATGCTACTATAGATAAGTAACTTTTTTTTATCTCAATATTTTTTCTTCTAATTATTTCTAAAATCAAAGTCCCAAGTCGAATAAAAATATATTACATTAAGAGTATATTTCTCTCATCTCTAATTGTTTTCCATAATTAAAATCGCATATCAAATAAATGAATGATTCATAAAGAATATATATAATAATGTAATTATACTTAGGATAAATAAACTTTGATATTTGATATATAATTAATGGTGATAAATTAAGAATGTCATCAACTTTCACTTAAAGAACCTGTAGAACTTTAGAAGCCATAAAATATAATAATTAATAATAACATTTATATTAAACTAATTATTATTTTATAAAGTTAGCAAAAACTTAACAACATCATTAAAATGTTACAAAAATACCACTTTGATAATATTTGAAAAATGTTGTCTAATTGTATAAAAATGTTATTAAAAATATTTAACAACATGAACTATATACAACACTTGATAATGTGTTACAAAAATAAATTAACAACATTTATACATAATTAAGTAATATTTTTCAAAAGTTATTAAAAGTTCTTCATGTTGTAATGATATAAAATAAAAAAAATATATGAAAAAATTATTTAATTATATAAAAATGTTATTAAAAATATTCAGTAACACAGATTATATATAATATTTAATAATGTGTTGTAAAAATAAATTAACAATATTTATATATAATTAAATAATATTTTTTAAAAATTACTAAAAGTTATTTGTGTTGTAGTTATATAAATTAAGTTTTTTTTTTTATCAACATAGTATAACAGAAATTAAATTCACACTATATAAAAAATAGTGTTCTCAATCTTACTATAAGAAAAACTAAACTATCATTTAATTATAGATTACCATATACCTTAATCTTGCCGATAATTACTTCTAAAATCATACTTAAAACGATCTGAATGGTTAAAAATTGATGTATAAAATCCAAACTCATTAGTTAATACAACTGTAATTATAGTTGTAATTGTTTTTTTTTTTTTTAGACAAATTGAGTGTGCATAAATCCTTATGATGGATATTATTTTAAATTAGTGATATACTGTAAAAGGTGACATTAATGAATATGCAACAGCGGTCCCATATTGAAAGGTTGTATTTATTGACCTTTAATCGCCGGATTAACTTGGAGGACCCCCTCTTGCTAACAGTGATGCCGACGTCTTATCTACCATATAATAATTGAGAAATTCATGAATAAATTAAAATCTGCTTCTCAGCTCAACAAATTCAGGTTACCTTAATTTAATTAACTATATAATCTATTGCCCTTCAACTGGTGGCTATATTAATTAAATGATTAATAGCCAAATAATCGCCATCACCTCATCACTCTCAAAAATAAAAATAAAATACATTCAATAAATTACTTTAAATTTTAGATAATGACTTTCTAATTTCTATAGAAAATTATAACTAAAGTTGTTCTATGTTCCATCATTTGATCATTCAATTTTATTTAACAATAATTTATTTTTGAAATGTTTGCGGGTCAAACTGAGTTTAGCCATAACATACATGTGGCATGTAACGTAACTATGGAAGTATAATAATAATGTAATTTCATTTTTTCATCATTAAGTATGTAATATTTATAGTATATTTATTTTTCATTTTTATCTTTTATTGTGTATAAAACATTTTTTAACAGTGATATTTTGACACTTCTCTTTAAGTTTCTTTAGTGTAAAAATAAGAAGGATAAATTACACTATTTTCTTCTCCATTTATTTTTTAATCCGTCATGTTGACATTCTTATATTTTTTTATTATGTAATTTTAATTTTTCAATTTTAAAAATTCACAATTTTGTTTCAATCATTAAAATTGTATGCATGTATTACACGAATATATAATTTATAAAAATATATAAAGGTGATTCATTATTTTTGTATAAACAAATTTTAAGACATTTTTATTTTAGTAATAACGCAATTTATTTTTTAATGGAGGGTAACTCAGTATTAATTTAAATAAATTTTATTATTTTTCAAAAATAAACTGCATCATAACAATTATGTAATTTTTATATCCCACAACATTAGCAAGATATAAAGTTTTTTTTTTCGTTAATCTTTTTAGAATGATAGTTGTTATGTTACATACATACCATGGAATACAACATGTATACATGTTTTGGTAGGGTCAAAATTGTAAATTTATTAAAATTAAAATTATGTAATTTTATTAGAAGCTAAAACTGTGAATTAAAAATTAAAGTGATACAATTTAGTCAAACAAAAATATTTGTGTATAAAATATTTGAGATGTTTGTAAACATTTTATTATAACAATTTTAAAATTCACACCTACCGTACGTATTTTTTATTAGTTGGTAATATAAATATTTTTATACGAATAATAATTAACCTCAGAACAATTATTTTTCACATGTATGTAATTTTTTTTCTTTCACAATGCTACCAAACATTTACAATTTCAATTTTAATACACTCAATTAATATAAAAAAAAAAAATCACTCTAGATAGTACCCATTAGAATAATTAACGCAAGAATTTAATTAGATTACACTAGTGGTATAATTTTTATTTTTATTTTGTTGTCCTCAAATCAAACAGCAAATTGTGAAGTATATTAAAATTATGAACAATTATTTTAAAAGTTACATTTGATGTGATTTTAAATTAGTTGAAGGTATAAAAGATTACAGTACATCAAAATTAAACTCTTATTACAAAATTCATTAATCTCATCATGCATTATCAATAATCTTATCATATGAAATAAGTGAAAACAAAATTGTACTGTGACCGTTTTTGAATTAAATAAAATCATTTATTGTTTGAAAAGGAAAAGGAGTTAGTTATCTGGGATCTAGTGTTGGTCCATGAAGCAGGAACTGCTATGCTGCCGCGCCAAACCATTCCATTTCATTTGAAAGCAGTGAGTTGATTCTGTTTTCTTCTTAACAAACGTGCGCAACAGTTTTCTCGGATAATATTTCAAAATTTCCTACAAAATCTTCGATATCTCTGAGAATTTGAGAGTTGAGACTTTTCAAAAGGTAACAGACATAGGAAGTTGATGTTTCCCCACTTACTCCCCTCATTCGTTTCTCTTTCTCCATAATTTGTTTATATTCTCTTTCCCCTGTTCCTGTTTGCGATAACACTTCTCTTCTCACTCTCGCCTTAATTTCACACTTTCTTTCTATTATCTGCATACCATGGTCACAGTTTAGTGACTGCGCTCTCATCACTTCTCTGCTTCTCTTTCTCTACACATGGCGTCGCGGGGTTGGTTTTCTTTCCGAACATTTTTCCCATCGTTTCAGGTTATTAATTCAACTTCTCTCTCATACTCTTTCCGTTTTCTATCGTTTCCTTTTCTGCTATGTAGCGGTATCACTCTGTTAATTTTATTTTATTTTTTCCATTAACAAATTTCTTTAAAGTGTAAACCAAAGATTGATTAGTCTATCTGTGAAATTGAATGAGACCGTGGGAGCATACTCTGTAAAGTCTATCTGGTAATTTTTTTTTCCTCGTGGCATTTCCAATTTTCAATGGTTTGAAAATTAGTTTTATGCACGGTCTATGGTAACTTCAAAAGCGGTACTAGGCGAATTACAGACAAATGTAGCCAATATAATTGAATTGCAGTTTAAAAAATCCTTGAAGTTGTAGTTGTAATTATGATTGTGTACCGTAATTTAAATCCATGATTTTAGCCAGCCAGATTTGTGCTCTTCCTTTTGGGTGTATATGATAATTGATAAGTTTGCATTTTGAAAAAAATCAATCATGTGATGTGGCTGGAAAGTGGAAATGCTTCCAAGTTCCAACTGGTGATTAATGATTATGTACTGCCTTGTCAATTATGTGCAGTGCCAATAATTTCTGCACAACTTTACTCTCAATTTAGTTGGATGTTTAATTTGTTGATTATTTGTTACGGCAGGGAGGGATGAGGCAGCAAGTTGATCCTGCGGCTCATACAATCAAGTCTCATGGAGCCGCACTTGCAAGAAATCACGTTCGTGATTGGTTTATATTGGTGCTTCTCATAGTAATAGAGGTTGTCCTTTTTGTCATTCATCCATTTTACCGTTTTGTGGGAAGGGACATGATGGAAGACCTTAAATATCCTTTGAAAGACAACACGGTGCCCGTATGGGCTGTTCCTGTAAGTGTGTGTGTGTGTGTTTTTTTTCCTGCATAACTCGAATTAAAATTTCTCTAGATTGCTTGTTAGTCTAGGGAATCTGGGATCTTTTTGTTTTCTTCTGGGTTTATTATTATACTTGCATAACATTCAATTATTTAATGGTATCGTTGTAACATGCTAACAGCTAATTGTATTTGTATGTACTCCTTTTTGTCATGTTCTTGGGAAATTTGTTCGAAGAGATGGTAGAAAAAATTGAGAGGCGTCTACTTTATTTGCTTCTCACATGTCTTGTTTGTGAGCTAATGGTTTGTTTTTATTTGGGGCAAGCGATTAATTTTTTTTCTTCTTCTAATGGTCAGTTATACGCGGTTCTGTTGCCAATGGCCGTTTTCCTTCTCTTCTATATGCGCAGGAGAGATGTTTATGATTTGCACCACAGTGTTCTAGGTAACCTTTTGCCTTTGGCATGTATGTCTGTGTGTATGGAGTGAGTTTTATGTGAGACTGTCTTGAAGTTAATGCTTATATGCAATTATGTAGGACTGATTATATAATAATCAATTGCCTCTCATGCTTTTACTTTCACTTAATATAATGGTATGCAAGTTAGTAACTTCTACGCATTATTTTGGGGGGAAAAGCTTACATCTTCTGTTATAAAATAATTTTATCTCAAGAGTATTTTAGTCATTTAAACAATTATGCCGAGATCTACAGTTAAATGTTTTGATTTATATACACTAGAGCAGAATTTTTTACTGATATAGAATTTTTTAAAAAAAAAATTACCAAAAAAACATCTGTACAACTTTATTTACACATCTAGAATCATTTACTGTACACACTCAAAATTTGGTTCCCGGGGAACCGAATTCTGAGCTTCAATTTTTTTTTTTTTTTAATTTTATTTTTTGTGCTCAGAATTCGGTTCCCGGGGAACCGAATTCTGAGTGTGTACAGTAAATAGTTCTAGATGTGTAAATAAAGTTGTACAGATGCCTTTTTGGTAATTTTTTTTTATAAAAATTTTATATCGGTAAAAAATTCTACACCCTAGTGGGAAAGTTTGGTAATCTGAACGATATCCTAGGTTCAAATTATATTATCGTGCATAAAAAAAAACTTTTTGATTTAAATTTGCAAATAAACTCTTTTAATAAGCAAAATAAATAGTATAAAATTGATATTTTAAGGAAGAAAAGAAATGTAGTTGAATTTACATTAAACATTAACGTAGGGAAAAAAGCAAAATTCATCATTATTTATATTATATTTGTTAAAACAGATACATACTTATAAGTATATATTTTAAAAAGGTCTTAAAACAGAAAGTTGTCCCTATAAGTAATTTAATACGTGCATTATTAAATTAAAGATCGGATTCAATTTTTATCTTGAATATGAAGTTGTAATTAGAGATAGTATTTTAAAGTTATATGCTAGGGAAGAGTTATTATCTCCTAATTATATAAAAAAAATGTTAATATTTTGAATGACTAGTTATTAAAAAGTAACTGGTAGAATAAAGCTATATTTCATAAAGATAGACTATTATCGTAATTTTGTTCAAAATAAAATATAAAGCTAGCTAATACATACAATTATGAAGGTTAACAAATGCATGTGCGCGTGAATATACTATCGATCTGTCAGTTGAGAAATTAGTAAATTGCTGTTAATGTGCTTCATTACTAGCAGGTTTGCTATTTGCTGTTCTGATCACTGGGGTCTTGACCGATGCAATAAAAAATGCAGTTGGCCGGCCTCGGCCAGACTTCTTTTGGCGTTGCTTCCCCGATGGGGTAGAGGTAGGCAAGTGCTAATTTATGTCAGTATACACTACACTTCTGCTGCTTGTTCTGTGTTGTTTTGGTAAAAACAAATATGGTCCTGTTGGTAAAAAATAATAGCTTTTACCCTTGTATTTAATATTTATAATTGCTGTTAAATGCTTCGGTTCCGTGTGCCGTGTCTATCTCTTGTGATGAGCAGCAAGATAACAAATTTAAAATCCACTTTTGTGTCTCCTCAAATCATCTTGGTTTTTCCTTTTCTTGTCATAACATAATCGATGCTTTTGTCAGTGATGGGGATAAGAGCTGTCAAATTCAGATGTTTCTAAAAAAGTATAGCTGTCATTTTGTACTGATGGATAACTGCTAAAGAAGAGCTCATTAACTATTAATTTTCTTTTCTTTGATTAACCTTACAGGCTTATGATAAATGGGGAGGTGTGGTATGTCATGGCAAGGAAAGCGATATAAAAGAAGGACACAAGAGTTTCCCAAGCGGCCATACATCATGTGAGCAGTAATTATGTATACAAATAGTTTACTTGCTTTAATTTAGTACTCCTTAATTTCCTATCAAATTTAGAACATTACTTTGATAATTCACATTATAAAAGTCAATGTTTAAAAGACAATGCTGGTTTTCGAGATAAAAATCTAACCTGATTACAGAATAACATCAAATATCTAACTAACTGTATCTAAAGTTTTCTCTATTTCTGTTGCGGTGGTCCCTTTTTCATGATTGCTTCGGTGGGAGCTTGTAATTAACAAAACATTTTATGAATGTTAAAAGGTCGAATCTGAAAATTGAATTATATTTCTCTTATCACTTATTAATTAGGTGAACATTTTAGAACCGCGATATTATCTAAAAGCTGCGTATGTTGCTTTTAACAATTGGAAAAATGTTTGGATTTTGAAGACTACGTATAGGAAATTGGTAAACATTGTTTTAATTAATCTTATCAGGAATTGAAAAGAATTCTTGCAAGTTCAATACTAAATTTTATTAGGGTGATATGAAAATCTTGTGCCGAATTGATATGCGCACTGCACATTAATTTATTCATCAGATTACTAGCTCATTTGTACAGAAAATTGTTTATGCATGGATCTTTATTCTTTATCTGATAAATTTTGTTTTGCAGGGTCCTTTGCAGGCCTAGGTTTTCTCTCTCTGTACCTATCCGGAAAAATTAAAGCTTTTGATCGCAAAGGACACGTGGCAAAGTTGTGCATTGTGTTTCTTCCTCTACTTGTTGCTTGCTTAGTTGGAATCTCTCGAGTGGATGACTATTGGCACCATTGGCAAGATGTATTTGCCGGAGGTCTTCTAGGTTTGTTATTGTTGACTTCAAAATCGAAGTTGTAAAAGAATCCGGCCCACAGCCGAGTATTAAATATTAGAACTCATTTTGCAAAAGGTAAATAAAGAGAAATTGATCTTATACTTATGTTTCCTCCAGGGCTTGTTGTTGCAACCTTTTGCTATATGCAGTTCTTCCCTGCGCCCTATAATGATGATGGTAAAACCCCAATTTCTTTGATTACTTACTGTTACCAGCAACATGTCAAATGTTGTTTATATCTTGATTTATCCAAGGTTTTGATTCTGCAACTTCCTTTGAGTAATTAGCTGCTTTAATTCATTTATTCCAGGATGGGGTCCATATGCATATTTCCGGGCAATGGAGGAATCACGAGGCAACGCAAACATTAATCGTGACTCACCCGTTGTACAGGCCATGGAGGATAGGGTTATGAATCAAGAACCAAGGAGAAATGGTGATACCTTCACCCCTTACTCTTATCATAGCCCAACCTTGGAAGCCATGGAAATGGGACAGAAGTAATCTTTATGGTCACCGATCCTCACTTTTGTGTATACTTGTAATAGAATGAGGTTCTCTACACGGCAACAACACTAGATTTAACAAACTATCAACATTGTGCAGCTTCTGTTGTTCATGCATTATTATTGGCACTGCCACTGTAAAAATGAAACATGGCGGCTGCTTTCCGCTGAATAATGGGTGATTTTTTTTTTCTTTTTGTGTTTAAATATGGAATCCCATTCTGACCTATAAAGGTAAAAAGAATATTTTAGAATGGTTTGACTAGCATTCTATTGATTTTTTTATATATTTTATTTGATCAAATTAGTATTATGAAAAAAATTAGTGTATAAGCGCACTATTTTTTTTTCAACGTTGTTTTTGAAAGATTAAGAAATTATTTGGCGGACAACATAAAGACATTTATTTTATAGTTTTAATACATTAGTGAATTATTTAGTGAGGTTTCTTTATTCTTGAAAACACTGTTATTATTTATTTATGATATTTTAAAAATTTTATAAAACAAGTGGCTCAAATAGGAAACTGGTTCAATGTGAGAAACCCAATCTCAATGGAACATGTATCTTACACGCTTGTGCTGAAATAATAAATAATCTCATTGGTACGACTTTATTTAGTTTGGTAAGAACTAAGGAGGAGGTTGAGGGAAAAAGAAGAAGAAGAAGGAGATAATAAAAAAATAAATAAAGGAAGGCGTTTGGGCATGTGGCGCATGTTTTGATGGTCCGGGGAAGGCATGATACAGCCCGAGCGTATGTGCCGACGTAACGCTCCTTCCGGTGAGTTTCGTGTATGCATGTATTCTTTATCCAGTTGGCTTGGCGACAACTTTGTCCAACCATTATTTTGGGAATTATATTTATATGTAATCCCACGTACTTTTACAAAATAAACATTACTTTAATATACATCACAATTCATCTAAGTTTCATATTTTTATACCACAGATTAGAATGTGTAACTTTCAGTTTTTTTTTTCTTTTTTCGAGAGGATCATTATTATGATTTAGCTTGTTTGAGGTTGATCGATAATTATATCTTTTTATGTCTTTATTTTAAGAGTGTTTTGATTAAGCACTCCATCAATTATACCTTTATTTGTAAAATATGTGGGTATATATCGGACTCAAGACCTATATTTGACACAATTAATCATTGATAATTATAATTAAACACCAAAATATAATTCCTATTAACAAATTGATTTTCATAAAATTACGAGATTCTTATAACTCACAAAAGTAAAATAATTAGTTATAAAATTCTAATTCTTAGGAAAAGATGAACATAGCACATCATTTGAATGTTTTGGTCTTATCTAGATCTTTTTCTTGTACGTTTTTCATATAAAATAAAAAAATAAAAAAATGTGATATATATATATATATTTTAAACTTTTTATAATTTTTTTTGGTAACTAGAATGTGACATTTTGACACAAGTTAACTAATACCATTTCTTATTTTAATTGCTATCGACCCATTTTACATCGAGATTTATCAAAGGGGTATACAACATGTTAAAAAGAATAAATAATGCATACATAATTAGTATATACGTCTTTTATATTCTTATTTAATCCTTCCATTCCATTTTATTTGATATTTTTCAAAAAGAATATTTCATTTTAATTATTATTTTACAATATTAAACATATTTTTCTATTACATCCTTAACTAATATTTGTTATGATATACTCCCACAATACATATATTAAGTGTATGTTGCTTGCCTTTATTTTTTATTTTATAAATTTAATAATTATGTTGTTATTATATTTGCTTAAGCTAAAATAGTTTCAAAATTATGTTAATCAGTTTAAATATTATGAATTTAAATAAAATAAGAATCTGTTTGTATTTTATAATACAATTTGAAAGAATTAAATTGATTTTTAATAAAAATTTAGAAAATTTTGCGTGTGTGAAGGTAATTAATTGAATGATTAAATTAACAATTACGCAAGTGTTATAATTTAAAAATAATTAAGTGTGTGAGTCATTGTGATATTAGATCTGGGATAATATTAGATTAGTTGGGATAAGTAAGATGAGATCAGCTTAGCAAGCAACAGTGATTTTCCTTTCCCTTGACCCGCAGCCATATGGAGAAACCATCAATCATTTTTTGGGCCAAACCACCCTCCAGCCCAATTTCTTTGTCTTGTGAAGACTGAAGAGTGATGAAACAATTGTCAACCGAAGACATCTCAACACCTTGTAGGCAAAAAACAAATAAAAAAGAGATGCATGCTTTGCTCCACAGAGAAACCAGATGGATATTTTCACATTTTGCATAAACATAATTAAGTGAATAAATTTTGGATCAAAATTAATTATTATATAAAAACCGATTGAAAGTGAGAACTTCAACATTATGTTGAGATGAAAATTGAGGAGAGAAAATTTTATTATCATACTTATATACTACACATGCCCACTTTTACACTTACACATTTTCATCTATATAGTGTGTAGAACAATAATCCATACACGTATTTATAAAATATGTAGACTCTAAAATTCAATAGATGATACAAACATATGCACTAACAAATTAAAATATACAAATGATTGGTGATAGATATACATTTAAATGAGAGTAGGCAAATACACCCCATCATTTTAATTAAATTATCAATAACATATATGTAAAAAAATATAATATTTTACATCCCTTAATATTATATATTATATCCTCTAGCTACTGATAATAGTTAATTTTTTAATGAAAATGTGATAATGACTTTTTGTATGAATCGAATCATGATTTAAGAGGTCTAAAAAACCAACTTACATATTAAAACATACAAATTTATGCATATATTATAAAAATATAATAGATTGTTATTAATTATTTTTTATAAAAAAAATTGCACCTTCTAACTCTGTTTTAAATCTGCCACCGCATATAATACTTATATACTATACATAAAGCTATAAATAGCAACCATATAAAACAATTAAACACATTCAAATTACTAAAATTGCAAATAAAAATTTAATTTGACGGCAACTAACACTATCCGCCACTTGATTCAATTGACAGTTCTCTCCAAACACGTTAGGTATAAAAATAAAAGCATTTGGAATTACCAATCATACTATGGGAGGGGACCTCAGAAACTCAACTTTAGCAGGAATCAAATACAAACAAATAAAATAGCTTTTAAGTTTTCGATGCTCATGCAGTCATGCAGTCATGCTGGCACCCTGATAGCAGCCCAAATGCAATTGAAGGAAGTGAAGAAAAACGGGCTAAAAGAAGCATTCAGAAGCCCAATTGGCATGCAGATTATGTTTTTAACTAAAATAGTGGACCCAATTTCTATCTTATAAGTCCAGTTATGTCTCAGCATAGTTTAGTTTCCTTTCAAAAAAAAAAAGTTAGAATAGTTTTATCAATTACTTGGGCCTTGGCTGGAGGGTGCTTGTTACCCTAATTTTCAAGTTGTATTTATTCTAACAGCATGAAATGAAAGGCAAGAAGATTATTCCCTTAATTTTGGTAGCTGTAGTGTTAGGAGATTTGGTCTATCTCGAAGCAAGACCTTGTTAGGAAAACTGCAATTAAAATCCTAACAATTTTGGTGCTTTCATTAATGCCTCCTCGGAAGGATGTGGACGAAGCCTTGGCAGCCTTGGCCGACCGCCTCACCACCTTACAACAGCAACAGGAGACCCGTTTTGACAACTTTCAATCCCTAATGGATGCCAGGTACGAATCCATCAATAGCATCCTAGCTACGGTTGTTGAAAAACTTGCTGCTGTGCACCCTTCCTCTTCCTCCACTATTGATAATAGCCTTCCACCTCCCATTCCTAATCTCACCAGCCCTGGACCTGAGGGTTCTACTCCCCATAACCTTACACCTCCCTTTCCCTCTTTTACCCCAAACCCCTTCTCCACCCCTTTTACCCCTCCACCTTTCACCACTATCCCACGTCAACTTTCTTCCCCTAACACTATGCATGCTGTTCGCCCTCCCAAATTGCAACTTTCTCATTTTGACGGTTCCGAACCCCTTGATTGGTTATTCCAAGCAGAACAATTTTTCTCTTACCATCAAATTCCCATTGAGGCTCGTTTGTCTATGGTTGCTTTTTATATGAAAGGCGATGCTCTTTCCTGGTTTAAATGGATGCTCCACAACCAACAGCTCTCTGATTGGCACGCTTTTGAGCGTGCTCTGGAGCTCCGCTTTGGCCCCACAGGCTATGAAAATTTTCGGGCTGAGCTCTTCAAATTGCGTCAACACACCACTGTCACTGAATATCAACAAAGGTTTGAGAAAATTTCTAATAGGGTTTATGGCCTTCCTCCTGATGCTATTGTTGACTGTTTTTATTCTGGCCTCCTCCCTGAAATTAGACGTGAACTCGCTATTCTTAAACCCACCACCGTTTCCCAAGCCATTGGTCTCTCTAAATTAATTGAGGCCAAGATCCGAGACTCCAAACCCAAAATACCTCTTAACCGTCTCCCACCTCTTCCATCCCCACCAGCCACCACTACTTCCCCCTTGCCTATCAAACGCCTTTCCCCAACTCAAGTCCAAGAACGTAGAGCCCAAGGTTTGTGCTTTAATTGTGATGCCAAGTATCACCCTGGTCATAAATGCCAAACCCCAAAATTTCTCCTTCTTATGACTGATGACCCTCCCCCTGACCCTATATCCCCATTTCCCAACCCATGCCTCCTCACTGATCCCCCTGATACCGAAACCCCTCTTATTTCATTTGACCAAGATACCCCACCAGCTATCCACTTTCACCTATCTGCCCAAGCCATTTCTGGGTGCCCCTCCCCTCAAACCCTCCGTTTCAAAGGGTCCATTCTAGGCCTTCCTGTTTCTGTCCTGATTGACACGGGTAGCTCCCATAATATCCTTCAACCACGAATAGCCAACCACCTACATATCCCCATCACACCTACACCTCAATTTCCGGTTATGGTCGGTAATGGTTCCCACATTTTTTGTGTTGGTTTATGCCCAGATGTCGCCCTCACCTTGCACTCCCATACATTCTCCATTCCTTTTTACTTATTACCCATACAAGGTGCTGATGTTGTATTGGGCATTGAATGGTTACGTACATTGGGCCCGATTGTCTCTGATTTTTCCATCCCCACTATGTCTTTTACCATTTCTGATACACCTATCACCCTTCAAGGCGACACCAACTTCACTCCTACACCAGCTACTTACCACCAGCTTTGCCACCTGCTCCACACTAATGCCATTGCTTCATTTCACCTTCTTTCATTTCAACCCTTAGACCCCACACCCTCAGCTGTTTCCCCTAATATCCCCACTCTCACTCACCCTAACCCTGCCATTGAAGATCTCCTTCTTCAATTCTCACATGTTTTCCTTGCACCCACGGGCCTTCCCCCAAACCGTCCCCATAACCACCATATTCCCTTATTACCTACTGTTTCCCCCATTAATCTTAAACCTTATCGCTACCCTCATGTGCACAAGGAGGTTATGTCCTCCATTATCTCTGAAATGTTACAAGAAGGCCTCATCATTCCCAGCACTAGTCCTTACTCCTCACCGGTTATTTTGGTTAAAAAGAAAGATGGATCTTGGAGATTTTGTGTTGACTATCGAGCTCTTAATGCCATTACAGTGAAAGATAAATTTCCTATTCCCACCATTGACGAGCTATTGGATGAACTGGGGTCGGCTTCGTTATTTTCTAAAATTGACCTTCGCTCCGGCTACCATCAAATACGTGTACACCCCCCTGACACTCACAAAACAGCCTTCAGAACTTTTGATGGGCATTATGAATTCTTGGTAATGCCCTTCGGTCTCACTAATGCTCCCTCAACGTTCCAGGCAGCCATGAATGATTTATTTCGCCCGCATTTGCGCAAATTTGTTCTAGTATTTTTTGATGACATTTTGGTTTATAGCTCTAATCTTAATGACCACTTAATTCACCTTAAGTTGGTTTTAGAGTTATTAACTACTAATCAATTTTTTGCCAAGTATTCCAAGTGTGTTTTTGCAGAGCCTAATATTGCTTATTTAGGGCACCTCATTTCAGCCCAAGGCGTCCAACCGGACCCTGAGAAGATCAAGGCTATTCTGGAATGGCCCCGACCTCACGACCTCACCACACTCCGTGCTTTCCTCGGCCTCACCGGGTTTTACAGGCGATTTATTCGCCACTATGCTACTATTGCGGCGCCACTCACAGATTTATTACGTTCTTCCTTTCTATGGAGTTGTGATACAGAACAAGCATTTGCTGCTTTACAAAGAGCCCTTGCCCAAGCCCCAGTCCTAGTCCTACCCAACTTTGAACTTCCCTTCGACTTGGAAACTGACGCCTCTTCTGTGGCTATTGGAGCTGTACTGTCCCAAAATGGCCATCCTATTGCCTTCTTCAGCAAGAAGCTTTGCCCCCGCATGCAAAGTGCTTCGGTGTACGCTCGGGAAATGTTTGCCATTACAGAATCTGTCAAAAAATGGAGACAATATTTTATTGGTAAACCTTTTCGTATTCTTACTGATCAAAAAAGTCTCAAATTCCTCCTTTCCCAGGCTATACAAACACCAGAACAGCACAAGTGGACTATGAAGCTACAGGGATATACCTTTGATATTATTTATCGTCCTGGGCGTGACAACGTTGTTGCGGATGCGTTATCTCGATGCTTTCCAAAACCTACCCCAGTGTTTGAGGCTTTATCAACCTCCGTGCCCACCATCCTTGCCTCCCTACGCGAGTATTATCAATCGGATTCCGCGGGACGAGCCCTCGTCAACAAATACACATCCGATTCAGCAGCCAGCCTAAATTTTCAGTTTTCACAAGGGTTGCTCATGTTTAAAGACAAAATTTTCGTACCTGCCATTGATGGGCTTCGCCAATCGTTGATCCAGGAATTCCATAGCACTCCTCATGCTGGCCATTCGGGATTTAAACCCTCCCTGGCTCGCCTCAGTGCCTCCTTTTATTGGCCAGGCATATACAAGGACACCAAAAAACTTGTGCAATCCTGTCTTACCTGTCAACAGAACAAATACTACCCTGTTAAGCATCAAGGCCTCCTTCAACCTTTACCGATTCCACAAAAGGTATGGGACGACATCAGCATGGATTTTATAACACACTTACCCAACTCCCACGGTCACACCGTCATTTGGGTTATTGTCGATCGCCTATCCAAGTTTTCCCACTTCTTGGCCTTACCCACCAAATTCACAGCTCCAGATCTGGCCACTCGCTTCTCCGTGGAAATAGTTCGGCTCCATGGAATTCCAAAATCGATTGTCTCCGACAGGGACCGTGTATTCCTCAGTCATTTTTGGAAGGAACTTTTTCGCCTCCAGGGGACTCACCTCCGTTTTTCATCTGCCTACCACCCGGAGTCAGACGGACAGACCGAAGTTGTCAATCGTTCTCTCGAAGCGTACCTCCGTTGCTTCACCACCGACCACCCACGACGCTGGTACCGTTATCTTCACTTAGCCGAGTACTGGTATAACACCACTACTCACTCAGCTATTGGCATGCCTCCGTTTCAAGCTCTCTACGGCCGCAAACCTCCCTCCTTGCTCGACCATGTTCCGACCGCCCCCACTTCATCTTTGGCTCTGGTATCCCTGCAACAAAGGCAAGAAATCATGCAAACATTAAAACAGAACTTAACTCGAACCAGACAGCAAATGGAAGCTCACGCCAATAAATCTCGCCGCGATGTCTCCTTTGAGGTTGGTGACTGGGTCCTCCTTCGTCTCCAAAGGCATCGGCAGACTTCCCTCCGCACCACCACACAAACGAAGTTGTCCCCTAGGTTTCACGGCCCTTTTCCGGTGGAGAGCCGTATCGGCAAGGTTGCTTACCGTCTCACGCTTCCCCCTCAAGCGCGGATCCATCCAGTGTTTCACGTCTCCGTGCTTCGTCGTTTCAAGGGCACACCTCCGTCATCTCTGCCACAACTGCCCACTCACCTTTGTGACCCTACAACCCCTGTACAAGTCACCACTACCCCATCTTCCCTCAATGTTTCCCCTTCCCACCTTAATCCGCCTTTCAATGTTCCCACCGACCCACCGCCTCTTCAACCCCTTTCACCCTCACCCACGTGGATCCCTCTTAAAAGCACACGTTCACTTCCTACCAACTCCACTTCCAAGTCTTCAACTCCAATCGGGATCCGTGGCATGTTACCCAAAGTCCCATCCTCACCGTTGATTCAAAATATCTCATCTGCCACTTTTACTGATGTGGCAGCTGGCCCTATTCAGGACTTTGTGGACAAAGTCCTTGCAAATGGGCCCGGTATTGATAGCAGCCCAAATGCAATTGAAGGAAGTGAAGAAAAACGGGCTAAAAGAAGCATTCAGAAGCCCAATTGGCATGCAGATTATGTTTTTAACTAAAATAGTGGACCCAATTTCTATCTTATAAGTCCAGTTATGTCTCAGCATAGTTTAGTTTCCTTTCAAAAAAAAAAAGTTAGAATAATTTTATCAATTACTTGGGCCTTGGCTGGAGGGTGCTTGTTACCCTAATTTTCAAGTTGTATTTATTCTAACAGCATGAAATGAAAGGCAAGAAGATTATTCCCTTAATTTTGGTAGCTGTAGTGTTAGGAGATTTGGTCTATCTCGAAGCAAGACCTTGTTAGGAAAACTGCAATTAAAATCCTAACACACCCTTTCAAATTCTGAAACCACGAATCTCTTTCCCGCTACATTGTCCCTTTGCTTGCATAAAAAAAAGCCCAAGAAACATCTCTGTTTAAGTTGCCCAAAAGTATTGCATTCGTAACTAAATATTAACGAAGTGACACTTCCAATGTCTCATTTTATTATTTTATTTTATACCCCTAAAGGCTGAGCATAAGACAATCTTCTGCTCCTTTTGAACAACAACGGGTTAATCTTTTGCCCTTTTGGTTATTTTATAAGCTTAGTTTAACATGTAGTAATTTCCATGCCAGATATTAAAAACCAGGGATTATCGTGGAAAAAAGAGGGTCTTTTTCATACTAGGAAAAGTGAGAGAAAATTTAAGAAATAGAATCATTTTTCAAATAAAAAATAAAAAAATATCTCATATGAAATTAATAAGAAAGGAAAGGATAGAAAAAGTTTATGAAACTGGCAACGAATTTTTGTCTTCAATGAAACGAAGAAGATTATGAGAAGAGACTTGTTATAATAGACAATGAACAATGGTTGAAAATTATTATTATTTTTTGTAAACCGTGCATTAGGAGAAAAATAAATTAATACGGAGTATAAAGTAGCTGAACTAATAAACACCCATAACCCACTTACATAGGAAAGAAAAGATGTTGAAAATTTCACAATAAACTGAGGTGTTGGTTTGGTTCCCAAATCTTCACCTGCCATGTGACAAGCTTACATGAATTATAGCTTTTAATGCAGGAGTATTATGAAGAGGAGACATTAATGCAATGTTGAATGAGTAGTCAAAAGGAAGAAAAAGAAAAGCAAAAAGAGTGTGAATACGAAAAATAAGTGTTCATAAAATACTGCTAGTATTTTTTTTTAAAATATGTTTTAGTTTATTAAATATAGGATAAATTTATTTTTTATCTCTTAAATTCAAAACTAAATAGTCTTTGTAATTTATTTTTTTTTAAGAAAAATTGAATATAAGAACTAAAATATATATTTTTAAATTATAAAGACTAAAAAAATTAATTTTAAATTTAAAAGACTAAATTTTATCTCAAATTTAAGAGATTAAAACTATATTTAAGTTTTATTTAATAATAATTCGATAAGTAATATTATTTATTGAATAGTCTTATTGTTGAAAATAAATTATTATTATGTTTTTTGATGTACCACAACCACTACTTAAGAACAATTATTATTTAATGACAAAACAATAAATAAAATTTAGTAAAGGTGTTCAGATTTTAATGGTATTCCCTTACTTTCCAATAAAGAAGTCATTGGTTTATTTATGAATGCAGCGTGTCGGTTTGTCACCTGCTGCATAGACCTTAGTTTCCTCCTTGTTAAGTACAGTGCAAATAATTGAGAAACAAATTACTATACCAACTCCATCTTGCTAAAGGGAATGCTATAAGATTAACCAACTTCATTTTCAGCATTATTATATATTAAAATTTTAAATTATTGCACTAAAAGAATTTAAAATTACCATTTAATATTTAACTATCAATTAGATATTTTTATTAACATGAAAATTAGACAATATTCTTCCTTAATTGAATCTATTTTATTTGATATTTTTATTTTAAATATTCCTAACTTTAGACCATAAAAAGTGTTGATTTTTAAATAAAAGGTCGCTAAATCACTAGATACATGAAAAAGATATAAAAAATTTGTATCTATTTTTTAATAATGTTAAATAAATCCCACTTGATTAATATTATTCAAGAGAGATAAATATAAATTTTCCGCGTGATAAATTTCTATTAAAATTAATAATTGATTCATAATTTCTTAAGATAATTTTCATAAATATTTTAATAAAGAATATTTCGTAATAAATATAATTAATGCAATATCCTTTGTCTCTGTTTTTATTTTTGTAAAGAGAATTAATAAGAATCTAAAATTGTTTTAAAAATGGAAATATATATACTCGTTGCGAATGAAAAAGGGTGAAAAAGGTAATAAAGTGTTTTTTCCTTTAATAATCCATACGACGCGCCTTCTGCTTTTGTCATTTTGAAATGCGGCTTCTGAGGCACGAAACTTGATTCCAATTTTCATTTCCGCCTTCTTTCTCCTTCCGCTACCTTGAATCTCGTGCACGTGCAGTTGCAGTACAGGTGCCTTCTTCTTTCTCTCTATATCATATTGCATTGTGCTTCTTCTTTCAATTTTCTTTATTTTCTGTTCCATGTCAAGATTTACTTCTCCGACTTCGATTTGATTTTGTCTGCTGTTGAACTGTAAAGTAATAATTGTGCGCTTGATTCTCTGCCTCTGTAATTTTTGAACGAAAAGAAAAAAGAAGAAACCCTTGCATGTAACTATATATTTTTGTTATTCAAAACTGCGGAGTGCTTTTGATTTTTTTTTTTTTTTGGTTTCAGTGCTGACATTTTGTTGCTGGAACCATAACTATTACTTTTGAGTTTTTTCGGTTATGTAGAGAGTGTAGCTTTATCGATATAGTGATTTTGATGAGTAAAAAAAAAATGTGGTAGGACTGGGTGAACTTAAATTGCCGTTTATGAATTTTGTGGCTGAAGTGAACTGTGCGTTCTTTAGATATTTGTGGGATTTATGCGAGGATGAGAGATATTTGAGGAACTAAGATATCATGCATTGACTTGTGGCTTACTAGTTGATCAGATTTGATAAGGTCTTACGATAAGTATCTTGCATAATTTTAGGATATGTCAAGGATGGATTGCATACCTAACCTTTATAACTCAAGGCTAGTATGCTTTGAAATGAATCCAGTTTTATATCCTACCTGTTGAAACATTATGTACACTTCATGCTTGTGGGAAAACAAACCACTAGCAATCACCTTCATTAATATAAAACTGAAGTTTTAGATAAATAGTACATTACTGAAACAGTCAATATGTAATCAGATCCTAGGACATAACAATAAAGGCAATTGCCAAATATGTGATTACGGATGAGGATTCTCTTTAGTGACTACTGAGAGATAGAAGAAAAGTTTTCAACCTTTTTTTTTTCTTCAATTTTTACAAAAGTGATAAAATATAAGAAAAAAAAATTCAGCCAGTGAATAATGACTGCAAGATTAACTGTCAAAACTGACTGCACAGGCAACCCAGTTTCCGTGATAAAATATTTGCACACATCAGTATAAGGCACAGGTTACATACCACTAAATGGAAAAATAGAGCAATACCTTCACGTTATACTCATCACTGGTTCCACAAACACTATGAAATGAAATTGTCACTCTAAAATTGAGGAGTCCAGTGAAGGTAAGCATTTGAGAAATTTCAGCCTCTAAATTACATACTTCGCAACATATTTGGGTTGAGAGTTTTGTTTTCTCTTGAGCCAAGGCACTCCCACATGAAAGCGATGAAATATTACACCAGATAAAAGGTAGCCTATTAGATTGAAGCAGAGGGATTTAGAGGTCAGTGGTTTATCAATAAATATGATTCACGACTGAACATTAGTGTTTTGATTGATCCTAGAAGGCTTGGATCTGGTTTTTGTTTTGTTAGGATTTAAACCCACTGATGTTGTGTTTTGTTGGAGTCATTTTATAGCAGCACAAACACACACACACACACACACACACACATATATATATATATATTTGTCACTGTGGCATGGTTATTTATTTTGTCCTCCTTTTTTTAGCTATTGGTTTTCTTCTTTTTGGCTTTGGTACTTTAATTTTTAACATAATTCCTGCTAACCTTCCTATTTGTCGTTTGCAGCACAAAAAATGCCAGAAATTCAATTGGGTATGCATACTATCAGATCACATGGAACTAGAGTGGCAAGGATACATATGCATGACTGGTTGATTCTTTTGCTTCTTGTGATCATTGATGCTGTCTTGAATATAATAGATCCATTTCACCGTTTTGTTGGAGAGGGGATGTTGACAGACCTTAGATACCCGTTGAAAGAAAATACTATTCCCTTTTGGGCTGTTCCAGTATATTTCTCTTCCTTGGATTGTGTTTTGAAAGAAATTTATTTCACTAATTATATTATAGTTATTTTTATCCTTGACTTGGTTAATATTGAAGATATAAGTTCTTGTATTTCAATTCCTAAACAGATAATAGCAATATTGTTACCGTTGGCTGTTATTCTCGTTTACTATTTCATTCGAAAGGATGTTTATGACTTCCACCATGCTATACTGGGTACACTTCTGAACCTTTTAAGGTTTTCCTTGTCCTTCTTATTTGGACATCACTTTGATATACTGTAACCTATTGCCAAATGCATATCAGGCCTTCTATTTTCTGTACTCATTACTGCGGTGATAACTGATGCTATCAAGGATGGTGTTGGACGGCCAAGGCCAGATTTCTTCTGGCGTTGTTTCCCTGATGGAAAAGGGGTGGGTTTTCAATTTTATTGACTACCAAGATAATCTTGATATTTTTTTGTTAATATGTGATACGTACTATTTTATATAGTTAACTGCTCAATATATAAACACCCCATTGATGCATGACATGTTCAGGTGTATGATCCAGTAACAAGTAATGTTCGATGTACTGGAGATAAGGGTGTTATTAAGGAAGGGCACAAAAGTTTCCCCAGTGGACATACCTCTTGTAAGTACTCTTTACAATCTCGGGGTCTGTGACATTTCCTTTGGGTGGTCTTGTTGACTTCAGATATCTTTGTAAGTGACAATCTTAATTTACAGTATGTTCAGGATGAAGTTCTTCTAGATTATAATATAATTACAAGCCTAGAAATTGTTTCTGATGAGTTAGTATCAAATAAAGAAAAAAAGAAATTGTTAAGATTTTTTCTACAGCCTTCTCTAATCATCCAAAATTTCAAAAGGTTGAGGTATTTGGTATGTTTTGAAATATTTAGGTGATGTTTGGTTTCAATTTTGCAGCCACTGAAAATGTCAATGACTACAGAAATACTATTTTGTTAAAAGAAAAAATAAACCAAGAATTCTATTGAGCTATTGATTGATTAAATATTTTTTATTCATTTATAATTGCAAAAAATACATGTTTTTTTTCATTGTTTCTTGTTTCAGAGATGCTGGAAAGGAAATGATGAAAATATTTTGTTGTTTTCAGTTATTCACCATTTACTTTTAAATTCTTGTAAAAACGTTCATTTTTAAAATTAATAGTGAAAATATATCAAATGAAAGTCAAAACAAAAAATAAGCCAAATACCACCTTAGTTTCTCCTTTTGAATTTGCTTCTTTCATGTCCAGAAAATATGCTTCGGTAGCACATGCATTTTGGTGTCATCAGTGTCTTGGGAATGACCTGTTTCTTTTGTCTTTTCTAATTTTGTAATTTACCACTAGCTATATAAAAGATTCAATTTTTTGTATGCAGGGTCCTTTGCTGGTCTTGTTTATCTTGCTTGGTATCTATCTGGAAAAGTTAGGGTATTTGACCGTAGGGGCCATGTTGCAAAGCTGTGTCTTGTTTTCTTACCTCTCCTCGTAGCAGCTATGATTGCTGTTTCTCGTGTAGATGATTATTGGCATCATTGGCAAGATGTGTTTGCTGGAGCTCTTATTGGTTTGTTTATCGAAGCTAGATTGATTGAATATTTAATAAACCCTTTTGTGAAGTTTCTTATACGAATTTCTTTTATCAGGGACGACAATTGCATCCTTTTGTTACTTGCAATTCTTTCCACCTCCATATGATATAGATGGTATGACCATGAATTGTTCCTTTCATCATTTCTTTGAAGTATGTGTTGTCATTGCTGTTATGTCAATTTGCTTTGAATCCTGTCCAAGTCCAAATAAAGCCTTGCCGCATCTGAAATTTGAGGCCATTCATTTTGGACATTTGGCCAGGCTCAGGCTTGATCAAAATATTTATGATCTAAATCTAAAAAACACGTGTATTTACTTGTTATACTTTGAATTTACTGAACTTTTCAATATGCTACAAATCTCTCATTCAAGTTTAGTGTCTCAAAGTGTTCGTTTTAAAATACCTTTTTATGCTAAAATAGTTGCAATTTTTTTAATTTAAAAATTTGGTTTAAATCTATTGCTTTGAGCTTAATTCCAAATTCGTACCAAATTCAAATAAATTTGGGTTGGAAACAATCCTGCGGACTGTGAATTTTCACCAAAAATCCCAGCCTGAGATTATCATTCGCTTCTCTTTCCAATTGGAACACAGCTTTCAAAGTTGTAATTGCAGGACTTCTGTAAAGTTGATGGAAGTGACTGAAAAATTGTTGCTTGATGTTATAAGCTTAATTTAGAGTGTTACTGTGTTAGACTGTGCTGTAGATTGACATTCTTGTGTATGCTCCTATCTTATGCTTCCCCGTCATCTCTGATCACATTAATTTGTTTAAGTCTAATATGGTTTTCTATTTCAGATTTTGAAGAAAAATATCTACTCATAATTTTCATGTGTATATTTTTATATTACTGTATATGCAGGTTGGGGACCTCATGCATACTTCCAGATGTTGGCTGAATCTCGTAATGGAGCTCAGCCCTCTACGGTGAATAATGTGCAATCTGCTGAGCTTCAGGCTGTATCTTTGTATATCCCACCTCAACATGATGCAGATACACGAGGCAATAGCTGGGATTCAAGCCCCATGTTAGGTGCATCACAAAATGTAAGAGCACACTGACTGCCGTAAAGACCTAGGAAATGTCCATAATCTGTAAAAATTATAGGGCTTCGTGTTGCAGATAATCTCCACTTTAGCATCGTTGTCAAAATGCGGATGTCAATCAAATTCCTTTGATTCTAAGATGGTTGGTTGGTTGTTGGATTGGAAATTTGGGATGTCTTATTAGTTGTCTTTAATGTTTTGGCCAGATTATATTTGTTAGTTGTCAAAGCACTGTTTTTATGTTCAGCTGTTAATCGGCTCGACGGGATTGAAGTATGAGTTACTCACCTATACACTGTCAGTATAAAGTTTTTTTACACTGGCAACCAATTATATATTTTGCATCAGGAGGGAAAGGAAAAGAATTACATAAACATATCTACTTAAAATGGCCTAGAAATTTTGATTTTTTCTTTCCCCCAAAACTTATTCCTCTTTTGTGAGTGTTCATCTATTATTTCTCTAATTAAGCGAAAGTTATCATACTTTTTATAATCCATTTTCTTACATTACTCGTGCACTTGGGACAAATTATACTCTAGATTTGGGTAGGTTTTTTGGATACCAGCATTTGAACCCAGCCTCAGATATTGATTTTCAACAATTACCGTACAGACTAAGGAGGCCAGTTAGATTTGGGTAGTTTGATATTAAAAAAAAAACTTAATTTTCTAGTATTATAAAATTTGTCTTTTTTTTTTTTTTTGTATTTTGTTTCATTATTGTAAATATTGGGATTGATACTTCATTTACAATAAAAGTTTGCATTCTAGCATAGATGTGACAACATATGAGACTTTGTAGGGAAGGAAATGTAGAATACGTTTGTGTTGGCTTGAGATCGGAGAGAATTTAATATTGGTCTTAAAATGGTTTAGCAAACCACATAAAAGATCAAAATAATTTAGAAAAAATTGAGAATAACTTAAAGTAGATAGTGATAGTAAAATTGAAGATTTAAAATGTGTTTTAATGTTGATCATAAAAAAGATTTCAATAATTTGTAACAATAATTTAGTGTATATTTAATTTTTAATATTATTTTTAACTTATTCTTGATATTACTATACTTTATATTTATAGGTGTCATCGATTTTTATTTATATAATTAACTCAATGTCAAATTACTCAATTTACTGATATAAATCATACATCACATACGTATTGATTTAGTTAGGTTTAAAATTTAATTTGGTCCTTTATAATATTTTAAAATTTTAATTTAGTTTTACTTTAATTTTTTGTCTCAATTTGGTTCCTAATAATTTAAATTACTGTAATGTTGGACATTCGTCCAAATTTTTTAAACGGGGTTAACTGTTGGTCACGTGGATATCATGTAGATGTCACGTAGATGCATAAGTGGCAAGGTCCCACATGTATGTTGTTGTCCTCCTCCTTCTTCTTTAATGCATCTAGAATGGCCCATTCTAAAACCAGAACAATCTGTTCTAATTTCAGAACGGGTCATTCTAGATTCAGAATGGGCCGTTCCAAAATGTCAATCACATACGCATGTTCAACAAAATGCAGCAATGTGGTCTAAAGATTGAAACCAAAAATTCATAACATAACATAAATTCAAAGATTGAAATATGGTTCAGAGACTGAAAACAAAAAATCATAACATAACATATACTAAGAAAGTTCAAAGAAATTACTAAGGAGGGAAATCATTTGGATATCAGCATACACTGAATAACTGACAGAATATCAACATTATCTACCTGTACAATCACGTGGTGAAATGTTGGTCTTGTGTGTCCTCTTCCTCTACTTCAAGTTGTATCTCCTCAAGAACAGGTTGTTGTTGTTAGGGTATCGGTCAATGACTCCAAGGGAAAATACCATGTTGTTTTATTCTTTACTGTATAGTGCCGATTTGGTAGTAAGTGGTTCACTCCAGTTTGACTAACAATGAAATAAAACATGCCACCATTGTCCTTAGTGATACATGACATTGCATAACAAATATTATAATTAATACTTCTAGGAGCTCCTATATCCTGCAATTGGTCCAGAAATGGTATATAGCCCAAATGTTTAACCATTAAAGTTATCAATCCCCCATTGACAACACTACCAAATCTAATGATTGAAATGCTTTGTACCTTGGATTTTTTTTCCTTGCACAATTCACAATCGTGATTTAGAATCACGGGCGTGAATTATAATTATTGACCGTTTATGGTTGGCGTTCTGGAACCAGAATGGACAGTTCTAAATATATTAAAAAAATTTAGCATCCATTTATGCATCTATATGGCATCCACGTGGCCAACAATTAACTCTGTTTAAAAAATTTGGACGGAAGTCCGACATCGTAGTAATTTAAATTATTAGGGACTAAATTAAAACAAAAAATTAAAGTGAGACTAAATTACAACCTTAAAATATTATAAGTGACCAAATTAGATTTTTAGCCATTTAGCTAACTATAATTATAATAAAGTGTTGGTCATCTTGAAAGTATACAACTTTTATCTAATTTTATTATTATAAATATTTTTTTATATTACAACTTGTTATTTTTTAATATTTTTTATATCTTCAATTAATCATTCACTATTATAGATTTTTTTTATTATTTTACTTTTTTAAGAGAAAGCAAAATTGATGTAGTGTAAAATTGACAAAGTCAACTGTCACTATTTTGAATGAATTTCGACACTTTTAACATGGAAATCACATTTTAAAGAGATTTTATCGGGTATTGAACAGAAATTGATTTTGTCATGGATTTTTTAGCATATCTTTTAGGAGTTGATTTGTAATTTTCATTTTTTTTTAATTATTAATTCTTATATATCATATATGAACCACTTTAAATAATTTTCTTTGATTAAAAAATTTATAAAAATTATTTTAATATTTTTTTATCATAATTATCTATGAATTGAATATTAATATTTAAAATCAATTATCAATAAATAAAAATAATTTTATGCTATGATATAAGTTATTTATCTTAAATTTTAAATATAATTTATACATTTAAATATATTTTTTATATATATAATAATTATAAAATTTAATTTTATATAATAAATATACATTGTACAAACTAAAATAATAAATTTTTCTCAATTATCCAACCCTAGATATTCTTCATGATCAATGAACACATTGACCGTTTATCTTTTTTGTTAATTACACTCTATCAAAACTATGCGGATAATTATGGATAACTAAAAATATTTTTACATTATTATCTCTTAGACATAACATGTTATAATATCAAACATGTTATCCTTATCGAATAGATAATATATTTTCTTGTTCAATTGAAAGAAAATTAGTTTCTATTATGCTCACCCAAAAAAGAAAGAGAAAAAGAAAAATAACATTTTATTTATGATAGAAAATACACTTTTGATCATCATCCCATATGATAGTGCAATCTAGTGTAGCTTCAATAAGAACATAAAGATTCATCCTACATGGTAATTTAGAACACTTTTACCTTGATTTTTTTTTTCTTTAATTGTAAAATCTATATATTAAGTAATTTTTTATTTGATATTTCATATAAAAAAATTACATTTAAAAGTGTTTTATTTTATTTTTATATGATATTTATTTTTAAATTTTTTATTACAAAAATGCTAATATTTTTTTTCTACCTATATATTCACTTTATTTTCCTTTTTGTTCAATCTTTATTTTTAGGCATAAAAGATAAATTAATATGTATCGCAATTTATTCTAAATTAGTATACTTTTAAGGAATTAATTAGTTTAATTTTTAATAAATTAAAAAAAATTAACAAAGATATTCGTCTTTATTATAAATTTAAAAATATTCTTAGTGACATATAAAACTAATGATTGATATATGTAATCTTAAGTCTTTGAAAAATATGTTTAGCTTAATTTTATGTCATATAGTTTCAATTGTGTGTTATTAAATTTTTTAAAGAAACACATTTATATAAAATTTAATATTTATTTACTAATTTTAATTTTTTAAATTGCTCTCCACCTCTTGACTACTTTTATTTTGTTTTAAAGATCGATCAAATTGGTGAATAATTTAGTATAAAGGATGAATAATTTACTTAAAAAAAGACATGATTAAATTATACAAATAAGATAGAATTAATAATTTAAATTAATGAATCATAGTATTTTTTTATTATATTAAACTACTTATTAAGATAGTTTATGGTAGTCCTTATTTGTATAAATAATATCTACTGCTTGTATATACAAGTTTACAATTATGATTAAGAAACATATTATGTTCTACAAAAGTTATTGAATGATGTATTATTTGAAAACTATATTTAAAATGTATTTAAATTTAAATTTAAATATATAAAAATGGTAATTACAATTACACGTCTGAATACATTTATTAATGTATAATATTATAATTGTGATGTTTCTATATTATTATTAAATATTAACGGTATTTATATCCTTTAATTTTCACCAAATAAAGATTATAATCCTAGTGAATTATTTAATTTTTTTTAACATCATCATAAAACTCTTCCCCTTTATGTCGGCAAAAAAAATGATAATAATTTATCCTTGCTTTAAATAAATTTCGGGACTCGGCCATTATATTATTTTCCAATAAAAAAACATTTATTGTGCGTATCCGAAGTATTTTATTTTATTTTGGTTCAAATTAAAAAGTGTCAACGTTTTTTAACACACAAGATGTACATCTTAAATTTATGACAAGTTTAACTTTATTTAACAGTTAATTAATTAAAAATTAATTTATATATATGTCTAACTGTTATAAAAAAAACTAATAGTCATATTATACATTATGTTATTATTATTATTATTATTATTATAAATTATAATTATTAAATTGAGAATATATTAAAGAAATGAAATGTATTTTAATTAAATTTTAAAATAATATATAAGCTCTGATATGAATAAGGGATGTCCCAATTTTCTGAATATGCAAAGATATAAATATTTCTGTCCCAAAGATTCATTAATTAAGTTAAAAAATAATGAAGTTAAAATGAAATTTTAAAGAAATTAGTTAATTAAATAAAAAATGATTAAATAAAAAAAAAGAATTTAATTTTAAAAAAAGTAATTTAAATTATTGTAACAAACTAATGATTATCTTTTAAGTAATTAATTCCTAACAACTAAAAAAATATTTTTGAATGATTATTTCCCAAAAATATTATATTATAATAATCATATATATTGTCCTTAGCTATTAGATAAATTATCTTCTTGTTCAAGTAGCAAATTTTTTGGCTAAATAAGAATTAAAAACTTATTTAAAAATAATAGGTATCTTACAACATTCTAAATCTAAATTCTTCTCTGTTTTCGATTTTTGTCATTCTTCTTATTAGAACTCCTACTAAAATATGTAAGAATATATTATCACAAATATCATCCTTTTTATTATCTACACAATTATTTTGTGTTCTTCTCCGTTTTCGTAACTCACACAGTTGTCATATCCCAATTTTGCTCAATTTTTTTTGGTGATGGGAAAATAAATAAATAAATTAAATCATATATTTTTTCATCCAAAACATATTAAGGGTGTAAACTGAAAGTAAATTAGGGTTTTTATCATCTTCACCCACCAAAGAAAGGGAAAAATGACAAAGAAAAAGGATTGTTACTCTATGATAAAGAAGACATTTTCTTTTATCATTTTATGGTGTTAATCTTGGTGTGGTGTAATTTTCTGTAGCGTCCACAATAACAATATGAAAGTTCATCCTATCATGGATAAATCTACATGATGGTCTATAACACCTTTGTCATGGTATTTTTCTAATTATGAAATCTATATATTACATAATTTTATATTTGATATTTTATATAAAAAATCACGTTTAAATTTTATTTATTTTTATATAATATTTTATCTTTAAAAGTTATATCATATAGAAATGCTAATATTTTTTCTTTGTATTCATTTGATAAATAAAAGATCTTGATTAATATTTGTTAAACTTTAAGATAATTAAAAAAAAAGTTTTTGTTCTCCCTGTATATTCCCTTTATTTCCCTTTTTACTTTATCTTTATTATTTTAGCGGTAAAAGATAAATTAATATGTAACACAATTTATTATAACTGAGTATATTTTTAGGAGTTAATTAGTTTACTCTTTAATAAAAAAAATACCGTTAACAAAGATATCAATTTTTATTGTAAGTTTAAAAAGATTGTTAGTAACATGCAAAATCAATGATTGGTATTCTTTGCAAAAAAAAAATATATGTTTAGCTTAATTATACGTAAATTTTAATTATATGTTATTGAAATATTTAAATAAACATATTTATATAAAATTTAATAATTTTTTATTAATTTAATTTTTTAAATTGATCTTTTATTCCTCAATTCTTTTTGTTTTTTAGGGGAGATTGATTGAATTAGTGACATGAATATGGTGCAAATATACTACGATTGACATGATCAATATGTGATGACAAACAGACCAATGGAACTCTTACTTGATCATCTCAAATTCATCATTTAGGGTTTTCAATTGCCATAATTGATGCACTCAAAGCTTGTGAGTGCGGTGATTATTATCAACAAGAAGCTCATCGCCACGATGCCAAAGAGACATGAGAAAGAGGATGAGGATGGTGATAGAGGTAGTGCTAGTACAATGACAAATAATTGAGTGAGTAGGTAAATGATTGATTTTTTTGTTAATGTTTTGTTGTCTTTGAAACTTAATTTTAGTATGTCGATTAGATTTCAGGTTATTTTTTAAATTAGTTTATCTGAATATTTTTGTTGCTATTAATGAATCATGAAAAAGATGTTCTATATAGAACAAAATTTATTCTTAAGCATGACAATTTTCATAAATGTATAAACTAAATCAAATTTTCATAACATATTTTTCTTTTTAATATGCCTAATCTAAAAATTTAATAACTCCTCACTAATGGATCAAATGAATAACTTTAATTAAGATAATTGTGTTACATTGTAGTTAATTTACCTATGTACAAATATATAGGATTTCATTAAATTAAGTATATAATTTGGATTAGAAAAATATTATCTTAGATCAATCTTTAGACAGAATGCTATTTATTTAAGTTTGCATAATATTTTTATTTAATTTACTCATTCAAATAATTAAAATATTATTGTTAAATAATTTATTAGATTACTTTATATTAAAATAATTTGTATGAAAGGATAATTATTTGTGATATATGCTATTTGTATTTTATCTCTAAAAACGGAATAGTTATTACACATTAGGAAGAACCAAGAATAATATACAATCATAGTTGTATTGATAGTTAGCTTCAAAAACATATTTGATTTTTAATAAAATATGATGTGTCACCCATTTTTCAATATTCATTAATTAAGGCCTTACGACTAATAACATTAGTAAACGTCTCTCTTTTAATCATTCTTGCACACATTATCCCTCAGACACAACCATTTATCAAAGCGTTATAATTAGAAAGATAAGACTCCAACCTTTCTTAATCATTATCCCCAACTTATACAACGCATTAACCAATATCTTAAAGATTTACTTTGTTCAAATACCAATAAACTATCTAATAAATATGACAAAATGATAATTTTCATCTAACATAAGTAACATATATGAATTATGAAGCTAACTACACGTCATATAGAAATCACACCTATATCCTAATAGCTTAACTTTTGTGTATTATACAAACATACATCTATTTCCAAGAATGAGTGAACTACTATACCTTTATTAGCATCTCGATCCATGCTCTTCCTTGTGTTCCTTCGGCACCGTGACGATAAGCTGGCCGTTGGCAACCACCGCGCTCACGAGCTCGGGCGTGGACCCTGGCAGCCGGAACCTCTGCATGTGGAGTTCGAGCTGATCCACGGAGCCGCCTTCCCTCACCACGATCTTGGTCATGCCGGGATGGGTTTCCACCGTGTGCACCCTCACGTCGGCGATCCCATCGGTGACGCGACTGAACACGTGCGGGAGTCGCTGGAGCTTCTTGCCGGCGACCTGAGTCTCCGACGTCGAGTTCTCCCCATCGACGCTGGATTGGATTGAGATGTCTTGCTTTCTTGGAACAGAGTGGACCTTCATGCTATTGCCGTGGACCCAGGATTGCATCATCAACGAACGCTTCTTCTTCCTTTCGTTTTTGGACCAAGATAATTAACCCTTTTTTCTTTCAATTTTCAACCGCCACGACCGTTTGTTTTGAATGGGAAATGATTGATTCCTTTTTCTTTTTTTCTAATTCGATAATTTGTTTTCAAGGCTTTTTGACCAAAGTGGGGTCGTTGACTAATTTATTTATGTAAATGGGACTCTTTTGAAAATATTTATGCCTTTGAAAATTCGTATTTTTTTTCAAAAAATCTATTTACTTATTTTTTTTTATATTTTTTTAATATTAAAAATGGGGCGCTGTAGGCTATAGCGACTTCATTGAAGCCGTTTTGTGTCGCTAGGGGCTATAACGACATTATCAATATGGCTTTCATGGCTTTCCTGGAGTTTAAAAATTCCACGTGGCATGGGTGTCGCTATGGGCCATAGCGACACCGTTGTAAACAGTCCCAAAGGCGTAAATACTTTCAAAAGAGTCCCATTTACGTAAATAAGTTGGTCAACGATCCCACTTTGGTCAAAAAGCCTGTTTTCAATGGCTATTTATTGTCCGAGCTGAAGACAAGTTAAATAAATAAATGGACCATTTTGATTTGTTCTTCTTTTAATTTACTAATTTTTATTTATAAAAAAATTATTGAACAAAAGTGAAAATTCTACCTCAATTACTCGATTGGTTAATTTACACCCTCTTTATTTTTATTTCATTGCTTTGCTACAGTTTTAATGTATAAAACATATTAATATAATTTAGGTTTAATATATATGTTCACCTTCAATATTTTTAAAATCCACTCTTAAATTATAAAACTTTGTTATTAAAATCTTAAGATTTTTTTTAACATAATGATCAAATTCAAAAAAATTGAAAGAAAAAGAATTAGGATATAATCTAATAATTTATGATTTATTTGATGTATTTTTACTTGAAGATTAGCATGTATTATTTTAACCTAATTTTATACTCATTATAAATATTTAACTTGAGCGTCAAAATATCTTTGCAGATACTCTACCGTCATGAACATTAAAGTATAAAGAAAAATACTCTCATCGTTAGCGCACTTACTAAATTTGATAAGATTATTGCAGTATTTCAATTTTTTAAATGAAAATAATAATATCGATTAAAATATTTACACAAAAAAAATAAAATATAACAAAAGTGTATAACTTTTTAAAATATTATAGTTATTAAAATTGGCCTAATTCAATTAGGTGGTGTGGCACACATAAATGAATTATGTTGAATTCTTTATTTAGATACTCATAAAAAATAAAATCAATTTAACTTCTTGATAAGTTAAACAGGTCAAATTAGACCATGAAAAGCTAATAAAAAAATCTATTAGGTTTAATTGGTTTGACTTTCTTTTATAATAAAATTATATAAATTTATGCAAAAGAAAACAAACTAGACATGCATGTTAATTTGTAATTGGATAGATATATAAAATTTTGTATTCTTTTTCCGTTTAAACAAAACATTTTTAGAATTTGTAAAAAAAATTCATTTTGTACTTTTCCTTAAAAACCGCATATTTCGTCGGAATAAAAGTTAATTTGAGTCAATAGGATTGTAGCACTTTTATTATTCTAACATGTTTTCAAACATTTGATACTTGTTAGTAAACTCCCAAACATTTACTAGAGGAAAACAATCACCAGAAGTCTGAAACTCATCCAGGACATAAATATTCAACTAAAAAAAATAAAGATACTCACAATAGCCAACGACTTTTTAATGGCAATTTCTCTACAAACAAATGTAAGGATACATCATACGATGCATTAAAATAAATTGGATTATCATGAGCCGGCGGTGAACGACTTTGACGTTGACTTAATTAGATACATGACAAAGAGAAAAAGAGCTACATAATACCAAGTTTGAGTAATTCATGTTGAGTTGGCAAATCAAAAACCACAACATTCTTTACTCTTAATTTGCTTCTCTGTTTCTTAATTCACCGTAAGATCATGGATTCTGCTACTGAAAACATGTCACTCCCATCTCATGTGGTTGCGGTTACAAATGGTGATGCTTCTTCACTGGATTCTGGACATGCCCGTCTTCTTGAACTCGGTTACAAACAAGAACTCAAGCGTGACCTTTCGTAAGGTTGTCTTGTTGCTTTACTTGATTTTGTGTTGTTGGTTTTTCATTTCCTATTATGGGTACCATGCTTTATATTGCAGGGCCATTTCAAATTTCTCCCTCTCGTTTTCTGTTATATCGGTGCTCACAGGCATCACCACCCTTTACAACACAGGGTTGAACTATGGTGGGCCCTTTTCAATGCAATATGGGTGGTTTCTAACTTCTGCTTTCACAATGCTTGTTGCACTCTCAATGGCTGAAATTTGTTCATCTTATCCAACAACTGGTGGTCTTTACTATTGGAGTGCCAAGCTTGCTGGCCCTAGATGGGCACCCTTTGCCTCCTGGATCACTGGCTGGTGTTCTATCCTAAATCATATTTTTACAAAATAATAAAAATAAATATATGACCAAAATAAATTATATAAGTGAAGATTCTCTTTTTATAAGTCAATTTTATATGATTGATTTATGTTTAAATCTAGATTCAAAAGTTATTGTCTATGTTTATAGTTTAAGTGATTTTTTTAGTACCTTCACCAAGTGTCAATAACACACTTTTTTTTAACTATTTCTTTTGTCATTTGTTAATGTTTATTAAAAATTATGATTAGGATGCAGAAAATTGTTAAATTACTGTCAAAACAGTATATTCTTCATCTTCATATGACTGATCATGGACTTATTTCTAGTTAGTGCCCCCTCAAGGAATGAAGATTCCCAAGTCCCGGTGTTTGAATCTGATCTATTTGTTCTAAATTGTTAGTTCTCATCAACGTTGATTCTACTTAAAGAAAGCTATTATGTCCTGTGAAGAAGATTTTTTATATTTAAACTCAGATACATTTTTAGGTTTCTTAATACTTATTTCCTTTTTGTTTTATACCTAATCACTTGTTCCTTGTTCACGTTTTCATATGAAAGTTTTTTGCATACAAAATTTAAGGTGTGCGTTATAAATGTTTGGGGACCTCACACTCACAGGGGAGGAGCTATCATTAATCATTAGGCTTTCGACGAATTACTTTTTAAGTTTTATTATGTGTAAGCCCAGAGATTTGTATACAACTGTTTGCTATTTTATTTAGGAGCATACAATTTTAACTTTTATATAAGGATCTTATGAAGACCTAATTGGACTCAAATTTTTTAAAAGTGGAATTCTCCAACTAGTTGGTAATTGTTGTTTGAGACGAGCATGCCATGGAAACACTTAAATGGTTGAGATTTGGATGATTAGAAAAGCAGAGAAAGTGGAAATATGCTTAGAAAAGCAGAGAAAGTGGAAATATGCTAATAGAAAATTTATCTATAATATCATAAAAGGGTTTTATTTTGAACTTTAGTATGATAAAAGAAGAATCCCCATCTAATCTTTTTGATTAAACCATTGATCATAGCCATCATCTCCTCCATGGTAGGGGGTTGTGAGTTATTGTTGTTGCCGCCTCTCGCCATGATAAAGCGTAGGTCTTTCTCTATGACTTGGGGCGTAGGAAGAATTTCACCGTAGCCCCACGGTGGGCGCCAAAATGTTCCGGCCAAAAGGTAGACTAGGGTTTTTTCCTAGATCGTGCCTCAGAGCCAGAGCATTCAAAAAGTGTAATCTGTCTTCCTAGCTCTAGGGTTTTGGGTTTTATACTTTTGTGTTTATGGGCTTCGTGGACCCCGCGATTTTCGGAATTCTCCTTAACCGCTCTTATCCTGAGGTCGCGGGAGTGGGTGGTTGTTAGTCAAGTCGGTATTTTACCGAGAGTGCCTTCACAAGGAGACCTATCGGGAAAGTGACGAATTTCCTCTCGGGTGCATGTAGCCGAGATTGGAGCCGAGTTGCCACACCTTGTGATAGTACCGTCAGATATTGGACGAGTAGAGGGTCTAGTCGGGATTTTTCCTAGACGGTATGTTAGTCGAGTTAGTTCTCAGCTTCCGAGAAGCTACTCGGTTTGGGGCGCCATGATTCCCTCCTTCCGAGAAGATACTCGGCCTAGGACGATGACGGTCCCCTCTCGGCCTAGGGCCACGACGGTCCAAAAATAAATATCAATTATACATTAAAATAATATAAATAAATATTTTTTAATTTTATCTCATTAATTAAAGTAATTATATATCATCAAAATTTAATAATTAACGAATATCAAATAAGTAGTAAGTCAAAAATTTCGTATTTTAAAAAATAGTAAACTAAATGTCTTATTTTAAAAATAGAAGAATCAATTATATATATATATATATATATTTATATAATCTATGTAAACTATCATTGGTCAAGTATGTATAATAACTATGCTACATCATAATAACATCACCCAAAATTTGGGACATCACTAGCATGACCTTCCACCAACCAAACAAGCTATCTTGCTAATCTTATTGTACTTTCATACCAAGCATGATCATTGTAGTTCAATTACAAGGAAAAGAAAGGATAAGCTTGTGAAATAATCAACATAAACAATTCAACAAAATAGTTAGCTCAAGTAAAGCCTCAGCAAAAATCATTCACCAATGATTTAAAGATACAACTGAATAAAATCAACTACACAACTAGAAAGCACACCTTAACAATTTTCACAACTCCAAACACAATATAGCAATAACTAACAATTGAACAATTATAAAACAACCAATAATAATTGTTAATCAATTGAACAACAAATGCATTATCACGCATAACAACTAGTAGAGATGTCCTATAACAATGGTGAGTAGTCTGAGTGGTTTAACTCTACTAAATCATAATAGTTGGTGTAAAATCAGGAACAACGAGTATTCATCAAACTAGAAACAATGACTAACACAATGGTCATATTAATTTCTCATGTTTTGCTACTTAAATTAGGAAAGTCTAGTTATTAGGGTAGAACAACTTAGGTGTGAGCCTACCACAACCTTAACAAACATTACTAAACCTCTTATAGGATTAGTCTGTCGCCTACCCTCCAAATACTACATACCTTTTCAGTAATCGATTAAGGATTTTAACCCTCGACTTCATATCTTACTCAATTGATCACTTTATACACATATGGCTCAACTTTGGCCCCCATACA